GGTAGTGGTTCCTGCAGTATTTGTGTACGTGCATGCAAGCAAGCGAGTGTCAGTGGGGCGAGGAGAATGTGGTCAGGACGGCTGTTCACCCAGCATAACAACAACTCCTTTGCACGAAACAACAGGTTGTCAGGAGGAAGTACACATCAGCCTGCTTTAAAACAGCCCGTGAAGCGCTTGCACTATGCCATCGAGCACGCTCACGTGCACCGGTGTGGATGCACAGATGCACATGCAAAATTGACCTACACGTGTCCAAACACGTAAGTGCTTGCACACGCACACACATTCACACACACATACACAATACCACATTCACACACACATTCACACACACATTCACAATACCACATTCACACACACATTCACACACACATTCACACACACATTCACACACACACATTCACACACACACATTCACACACACACACACACACACACACACACACACACACACACACACACACACACACACACACACACACACACACACACACACACACACCGTTCGCGGCGTTGTTTCGGCTTGAGGGGGCTTAGGCGATAGAAGCGTCTGAGTTCAACACGCCGCTGCTCTGCATTTGTCCAGCGCCATTCGGCCGAGGAAGGCGTGGCAGGCTGAGATGGTATCTCGCCCTGGCGCTTGCTCTTGAGGCCAGACAAGTCCTCCAGCTCACGGCTTTCGCCTGGGCCAAGCGCCATCAGCCCAATCTTCTCCACCATGACGCCGTCCTTGTTGGGCGTGAGCGCAGGCTTTTCCTTGTGCTTCTTCTTCAGCAGCCTGGCTTTGCTTGGTTTTCCTCGTCGGCGCATCTGCTGGCGTGGCGGAGACTGCGGGGAGCGCCGCGAGAGGTGGGCTGCCGCTGTTGCTGATGGCGACACCGATGCGCGGCCATGGCTGCGTGTGCGTCGGCTGCGCTTTGTCGGAGATCGCGAGGCACTCTGGCGGCTTTGTCGCCCTCTTCTCCCACCCTGCCTGGTTGACTTGCCACTAGTGCTGCCGCCGTTATTGCTGCTGCTGACGGTTTTGGTCCTACGGCGACTGGACGTGTTTGGTGTGTGCTCGTCGTGCTCGGGATTCCAGAGCGGGCTTGTTCGGAAAAAGTCCAGCATCTCCGACCATAGGGACTTGACGTCCTTTGCCACGCCTGTCATAGCGTCAGCGTCAGCGCTGAGCTCTGTTTGTTGTGCTGAGCAGTCGGCAGCTGGGCTGGATGCCATGGCTTGTTCATGTCCCTGGTGCGGTGTTGACGGTTCCGTGCATCGCTGTTGTTGCGGAGTCTGTTTTGCTGGGCATGAGGGCTTCTCCACCTGTGTCGCTGCTGCATGTGGTGTCGGCTTTTGGGGCGTGTGTTTGTTGAGCGGTGTCTTCTGCGCCGCGTTGACGGAGATGCTGGCGAGGGCACGCCTCTGCGTCGTTGGCGTTGCAGACGACATTGTCTCGTTTTAACTCACGCGTTCGCCTTCCAGTCAACTGCTCGGTCGACCAACTGCTCGCTCGCTTTCAGTCAGCTGGCTGCTCGGTTGACTTGCTTGTGTGCTGTTCCACTCCTCGCCACTGCCACTGCCCGCTTGCTTGGTTGATTGATGGGGTGGGTTGGCTGGTTGGGGTGCTGGTGTGCTGCTGGTGTGTGCTGCTGGTGTGCTGCTTGTGTGTGTGTCTGTGCAGTCCACGATCTCCTCGGCTCGCCTCTGTCAGGTTGGTTCTCCCAAATTCAAAATTGGCGGCGGAGAAAATGTGCCGAGTCAGCATATTCGTGCGACATCGCTTTGTTGGTCTGGTCGCCTTGCACAGGACTGCGCGTTGCTTCCTCCTCCTCCTCCAACGCAAACAAACACACACCAAATACCCGCGCACGTTGCCGCACACCACAGACACCCCCTGAGGCCGTCAGCGTCAAGACTTCCTTCGCCGTCGCATTGTGTCGCATCGGCACCTCGGTCTCTCTGATTCAACCACCCACGCCAGTCAGTCACACGTGTGTGTGCGATGAACGTGTCCAACGTCACCTACGCGGCGACGGCGCTTGTGCGCTCCTTCCACAAGGCGCCCCACTATGACTTGGCGTTTCGTCCCATTCCGCACACGTTTGCGCCAGGGGAAACGCGATACCAAGAAGCCCTTGCCCAAATTGCCTGGCCGCTCTTCGTTGTCGTTCTTCTCTTCTGCGTCTGGTACGGCAGGGCCGCTTGTGTGTGTTGCTTGTGTGTGTGTGTGTTTCTTTGTTGCTTGTGTGTGCGTGTGTTTGTTTGTTTGTTTGTTTGTCTGTTTGTTTGTCTGTTTGTTTGTCTGTTTGTGTGTTGTGTGTGTGTGTGTGTGTGTGTGTGTGCTCTGTTTGCATCACTTGTACGTGTACGTGCATCTTGTGCTGTGGTCTATAACCCTTCTCCCCTCCCCTCTCACGATTACCCTCAACTCACGTTTACAAACACGACTCTTTGCTGCGTCACATCATACCTCAACCTCAGGCGGCTGGTCCGCAGGTGCTGTTGCAAGAGC